GTATAAGAAACCCCCACGCACATGCTGGACCCACACCCCCGCCCGCCTTCCCCCAAACCCTGAACTCTGAGCCCAACCTCTGATTCATCAAGCAACCCCTCCTCGCCACCCCCCTAAACCCTGGACCCCTCAGCTTCTCGACGAGTTCCTCACGGCAGTACGGCGGCGGTACGGCAACACGACGCTCATCCATTTCGAGGACATGGGGCACGACAACGGCGCGAAGCTGCTCAACATGTACCGCACGGACTTCCCCTGCTACAACGACGACCTGCAGGTGCGGGGCGGCTTCCGGGCAGCTTCCACGCGGCTTCTCTCGGAGCGGCGCTACCCAGGCGGCGGCCCCGGCAGCTGCCGCGCCCCGGCGCTCGCCCGCTCGGCGTGCGGCTTGAGGCGTGTTGGCGTCGGGGAGACCCCAAAACCTGCCTGTTTGCAGGCCGCCGGCGCCCCCGGCTCCGACTCCCACCTGTGCATGCAGATGTTTGGGGCCTAGGGTTATACAGATTGGGGGTTCTGGATCTCATACGAGACCTCTAAACCCCTGGTGTGCGTCGCTTCGCAGGGCCTGGGGACCGCGGTGCTGGCAGCGATTCTCGGGTCGCTGCCCAAGACGGGCGGCAGCCTGGCAGACCAGACGGTGGTGATCTCGGGTGGGTGGTGGGGGCAGAGAGGGTGTGTGTGTGTGCGTGCACGTGTGTGTATGTGTGTGTAGAGGTGTGCAGATGTGTATTGGTGCGTGTGTGTGAGTGTGTGTTTGTGTGTGTTTAGGGGGGTATGTGTGTTGTCTGTGAGTTCGGGTTGTGTGAGCGTTGATTGCTTGTGCTTTGGTGTGTGTGTGTGTGTGTTGTGTGTGTATTAAGGACGCGTGTGTGTACACATGTAGGGGTGTGGGTTATGTGTGCCTGCTTATTCCGTTTTCAGGGGCAAGGGGCTACAAGGGCGTGTGAAGCGTGTCGATGCGTGTGCGTGCGCACGGGCATGCAAGAAAATGCCAGGAAATGGGGGCTGCCAACCAGGCGCGCTGCACGGTTCGGCCGCAGCAGGGACTGGGCCGGCGAGGGTGCAGGGGCGCGGGGAGCCTGAAGATTGAGGTGGAAATCTCTCAGGCCCCTTGCCTCCCTTATCTCACAACCAAACACACAAGCACGCACTCATGCGCACACACACCCCACATCCCTGCACTCACAACCACACACATGCACTCCCACACACACACACACACACATACACACACATATACACACACACGCACGCACATACACACACACACACACACACACACACGCATGCATCCACACGGCCACACACACAAATTCACACGCTGCGCCCAGGCGACGGGGCCACCCCCAGCTGCATTGCCGAGCTCCTGGCCGGCGCGGTGGCGCACCAAACGGGGGTCACTGTGCTGGAGGCGCGCCAAAACATTTGGCTTGTCGATTCCGCCGGCCTCGTCACGCGCAGCAGGCAAGGACGCGCCCGCGCGAGCGCGTGATTGCTGAAGCGCGGCCAGCGCTCCCCCACGCCTGGCCGCCACCCCGCCCGCGCCCGCCCTGCCCGCTCGCCCGCGGATCCCTTGCCCTCAGCCCGCGCCCCCGCCCGCAAACCCCCGGCATCCCGCGCGGCTGCACCAAAACGCGACCCCCCGGCTACCGCTCCCCTGCGTCGTCATTTGTAATCGGCCCCCAGGGGTGACAGCAGTACGCTGGATGACTACAAGCTGCCGTACTGCCACTCGGGCCCTGAGGCGCGCTGCCCAGACCTGCTGAGCGCGGTGCAGCAGCTTAAGCCGACGGTGCTCATCGGCTGCACGCAGGTGCGAACCCCGCCCTCCTCCCCCAAAACTCAACAACGAGAGCGCCACATCTGGCACGCAGTCGGCTGACGGTGTTGCGAGCTGTCGGTTGGGGCCGCGTGCTGCTGCTAGGGCGCGCCGCGCACCACTGTGCCGCCCTCGATTCGTGCCCCTATTCTAGGCCGCCTGCTGGGCTTCAAGGGCGCTGCGAGGGGGCCTCGCACAAAAAAACCCGACCGTCGCCCCGCAAACCCCGAACCCCCACGCGTGCAGACGGGCGCGCCGCCGTTCAAGTTTGATCAGGCTGTGGTGGGTGCTGTTGCCGCCAACACGAAGCACCCGCTCATCTTCCCGCTGTCGCCGGCGGACGCGGAGTGCAGCGCGTCGGAGGCTTACCTCTGGAGCCAGGTGGGGTCCAAGGTTTAGGGTTTCCGGGTTCAGGGTCCAAGGTTTGGGGTTCAGAATTTAGGGCTTTGGGTTTTGCGCGGACATTTTGGACTGCCCTGGGGTATTTTGAAGTTCGAGGATGCGGGGAGTTTGCGGAAAGAGCAGCAGGAGGTGTAGCCTGTAGGGGGCGAACCCAGGCAGGGTTTAGGGTTTGGGACGCGGACGGGGTTGTGTCCAGGGCGGGGAAGCCGCCGCAGGGGCTGCGCAGGCGCCGCCTCGTCGGCGCGCGCCCGCACACTGTTTGCATGCTGCGCCGCGGGCCACCGGGCGTGCATTTGGGCGCGCGGTGGCGTCTGCCGCCCGGCACCACCACCCCGTTGCACAGCCAACGTTTGCCCCCACCCCAGCCACGCACTCGTCCTCGTGCACTTTTCAAGGCACCAGTGTCCTGGCCGCGTGACCATGCCACGCGGTGCATCAACGCCACCGCACCCCCTGCCGTTTTTGCATCACGCAGGGCCGCGGGGTGGTGGCTGTGGAGACGCCGACTTGGCTGGAGGCCGGCGGCACAAGCACATACGCAAACGAATGGGGCCTCACGCCCAGCCAGATCACCAGCACGTACATATTCCCGGGGATAGGTGTGCGCGAGGGGGCGGCAGGGAGGGGAGTGCAGGGAAGCGAGGGGAGGGGAGGGTTGTCGTCGCCGCACTGTCGGCCAGGCGCGTGCTTCCTGCCAGCGACTTACACCCAACCTCAACCACAAAATTCAACATTCAAGATGCCAAACCGACATGCGTCCACCCACTCACAACACACACACACACACACACATACACACACACACACACGCACACACACACACGATACACATACACGTACACATACGCACACACACACACACACACACACACACGCACGCCCTCAGCGCTGGGCTGCCAGGTGGCGCGCTGCACCCGGCTGCGGGACGAGCAGTTCATCGCGGCGGCGGAGGCGGTGGCGCGGCTGGTGACGGACACAGAGCGCGCGCAGGGGCTGTCGCTGCCGCCGCTGCACCAGATACGTGAGGTGAGGCGCTTCATCTTTTCTTGCTGCATGCTTGGCTTGTCCTTTGGTCGGTCGGTCGGCTGGTTTGTTCTCGTGCTGGTGCTGACAGGCCGCTCTTATGACTGCGGTGAGCGGTGCGGGACCGGATACTCCAGCCGGCGCCGCCGCCTGGGCCCTGCCGCGCCCGACGTCGCCCGCCGGCCTGCGCCCTGCCACGCCCGACGTCGCCCGCCGGCCCGCGCCCTGCGTCCCCCCGTCCCCGTCCCGCTGAGATTTTAAGATCCGCCCCACCTACCCGCCTTCCGCGCGCCCCGCCCACGTTTTTCCAGGTGTCTGCCCATGTGGCGCGGGCGGTGGCTCAGAAGGCTTATGAGGGGGGCTTTGCGACAGATATGCCCAAGCCCCACAGCTTGCTAGAGAAGGCCCGGGTGCTCATGTACAATCCAGTCTACAGGACGCTGCGGTGACGCGATCTGAGATCTGAGGTCCGCGATCTAAGATCTGCAACGGGAGCGCCGCTGGCACACAGCAGCACACAGCACACGCAGTGCAGGGGCCGCCGCTGGCGCGTGTGCTGGATCACCTGCACGCGCAGGCGGGGGCCACATCACCTTTACTTCAGTGCATTTGAATCCGTGCAGCGACAGCTTTCACACATCCTTCATGGCGGCCGGCAAGGCCCGCCGCCGAGCCGCGCGGCGCTGGCCGCTGCCCTGGCCGGGACGTCCCTGAGTGCGCGTCCGCGCGCCGCGAACGCCTGCCGGCGCGATCCGCGGGCTCACGGGCGCAGCACGCCTTGAGCACGGCCCCGGCGGCCGCCGCGGCCCGCCTCGACCGCGGCGGCGCGGAACGCGCGCTGTCTTGAGGCCGGCCCTGGGCTTCTCCACCCGCAGCGCCCCACGCAGCGGCGTCTGGGAATGTGCCCTTCCCTGCCACAAGTTGCCGTTGCTTTCGCCCTGTCCATTCTTTCGCCATGCCGTCGCATGCGTCCTCCATGCGTGCACGCTTCTATCCTTGCCCGCATTTGCAATCGATCCCAGCAGGATGAGCTGTCGGCCGTTTGAATTGTCAGGACGAGAGCTGTCGGCCGTTTGAATTGTCAGGACGAGATCAGGGTCAGATTTCTAATGCTAGGCGGAGCGCCAGACCGGCACTGCACGCAAGAGTTCTCAGTTTAGGAGACTCCAATGAAGTGCATCAAGACCCACAATGCACGAGACGAAGAAGTGCACCGAGTTAAACTGCATGGCACAAAAACACACACGGTGTGAGAGCTCACAGCACACAGCAGCACACAGCGCTTGAGAGCGCACAGTGCATGATAGCACAGAGCGTATGAGAGTGTGCAGCGCATGACAGCACACCAAGCGCGCTTGTCTGCGCAGGTACAGGTTTTGACCGAGGGCGGGGCTGACGGCTGCGAGCCCGCATGGCATATCCGGTATGCTGGTGGGAGTGCTGATTGTTAGCATTGTGGCAGACTGCATTCTCCTGTGTGCAACGCCGTCCAGCTTAAACAACGCGCTTGCCTTGAGTTCAACACTGGGTTGCGCGTCTACGTAGCAGTACGACGCCGTTGCGGTCAGCCAGCTGCCCGTGCACAGTAGTTATGGCGATGCATCCTGGCGCTACCACCATGCGAGCCTTTTCATCACCACCTCCGCACGCGTGCAGGCGGCATCATGCGGTTCCGGATACGAGAAATTTCACCTCGCACCCAATGCAGCCACAGGAATGCCTGTATGTACCAGCTGCAAACATCCAAGTAGCAGCTGCATCTTTGCGCCAGAAGCATGAGGAAACCGCTCAAAATCACGCCATGCTCGGTGCTTAGTGTGCCTGTGCATGATGACTCAGGCAGCACTGCGGGTCACACACGGCCGTGAAGCGCACCAGAGCTGTTTGATTGTGGATGAGAGTATCTGGAGAAGCCCTGCTGTCTGGAGGAAGTCCTTCGGCGGTGCTTCTCTGCTCACTTCACGTCGCGCAGTGCGGCGGGCCAGCCAACTAGAGCAGAGCTTCACAGCGCGGGACGCAGAGCACCCTCGGAACCCCCATGACACACATTCCCCCTGCCTCTACCGATCGGTTCACAATCACATTTACTATTACTTTGAAACGATCGCCACAGCAAAGCGTGCGTGTCACCCGCAACATTGACGAAGAACGGCAGGAAGAAACGCACCGGACCCCCTCGACAGCACCAGCAGGAACATCTGACACGAGAAGCAATAGGAAAACACATTTGCACCGTCGGCAGCGCCTCACAGCCAGGCGTGCAGCGGGAAGTGTGGTCACATCACCCAGTGCGGCAGTGCATAGCCAACCCAGCTGCAAGGCCGCCGTCCCCCAGGGACAGGGGCAGCAGCACCACCGTCGCAAGCACCACCGTTATCAGCCGCTCAACCACGCTCTAGGTACGCCGTGGGGCTTGCCGATGACAGATGACCTGCTTGCCCTGTGCAGAGCGCGCAGCGCAGTCCCAAGGCCACCCCCTGCCCTGGGGGGCGGGTGACTGCCTTGGCGTTCGAGGGTCGCGCGTTCTGACACATATTTCACGGACAAAGGCCCCTGGTAGCACCGACGCGTCGCCCCTCTTGTCAGCGTGCAGGGACCTGGGTGCGCCCCATGGCTTTCCTTCCAACGGCATATCAGACGTGCGCTGGCACTCGCTGCCAGCTGGGCAATCAACCTGCTGCATTTGCGTCCCTGCTTGCGTGCGCCTCAACACCACCGCCCCTCCCCGCTGCCCCCGCCTGCCGCGTCCTGCCGCGCGGCTGCAGATTTGGGGCAATATATCAACCTCGAGCGGCATGCGCGTGTTCTGGCTCGCCGCCGCGCTGGCGCTCGCCGCAGCGGGCGCAGCGCTCGCAGGCTCCAATGACTGCGTCAACGGTGCGTGCGTGTGGCTTCTCCTTCACACATTAGCCAAGGCCCCCAGGACCACCGGCGCGCACATGCAACCTGGCAGCCCGCGCTGTTTTTGCCGTTGCGGCGTCGCCCCTTGGGTCTGCCTTTTCAGGCCTGCACCACTGGCGCAAACGCCAAACCCACAATGCCCTCCGACTGCCCCGATTTGGGTCGCAAACACCACCACGCAGAATTGTCAGTGGCAAACGATGCGTCGATGGGCGCATCCATCGTACTCAAGTATAGCGCCACCGGCTCCGCCGCCGCCCTCAGCTCCGCCAGCGGCGGCGGCGCCGCCGCCGGCGGCAGCGCGGTCAGGGCGGTGCTCAGGACACGCGCGAGCACTGGCCGCGGCTCTGGCCGCGGGAAGCTTCCCGTGGTGTTCACGCCCGCGGGCACGTGCGCGCTGTCGGACATCACCGGGACCGCGGCGCCGTCGAGCGTGATCGCAAACGCCAAGGTCCAGGCCGGCATGAGCGGCAACTCCAGATACAGAAGTGAGGCGCCCCGCGTGATAGAGGCTCTTCACGCTCTCCTGAAAACGATGCCCGGGGCCGAAACCCAAAAGCTCGCCGCCCCGGCGAGCGACTGCGGGGCGCTTTGGTAAACCTCGTCCCAACCCTGCGGCTGCGACACCCACCAGGCGGCGCACCGACTGGGCTCTCGCAGGGCCTGTTGTTGCCTCTGCTGACCCGCGGCCCCTTCCTCCGCTTATGCTCACGCACCCAATCCCACACCTGCCCCTCACAGTGACTTTCAGCGACTTCCCCGGGACGTATTCAAAGGGCAAGACCACCTCGAAAACGTACACCCTGGCCACATACGTCATTTCTGGCCTGCAGGTGCGCCACCACATCGGCTGTGGACTTGTGGTTGCAGCATAATGCGACGCTGCGCTTGCGCAAGGCTGAAGCGGGGCGTGTGAGCCGCGTCGCGCTGGCCTGCTGCATTTTCTCCCGTCTAACGGGCGTGTGAGTGTGTGCAGCACATGCGGCGCCTCCTCCTGCCGCTGACAGAGAAGCGACCTGCGCGCCTCCCCCCGCCCGGCGCCGCCATGGGTGCTCTGCAGCTTGAGCTCGCCGCGGCCGGCGACGTGGCGATCAGTAAGGCAAACAAGGAGCAGAAGTTCGCGACCAACATCAGGGTCGCGGCGGGCACGCTGACCGTCGACTTTGCCCACAAAGGCAAGACGGGCGGAGAGGAGAAGTTCACGTTTTCAGTCGACCTGGCGGGTGCGACGGTCTCGAAGTCGTCGGACTGCAAGATTGGCATGATGACTAAAAAGGTGGCAGAGCCACAGTGGGCACTTAGCTGCCCGAAGCTGGTCGTGACCCTGGCAAACATCCAGAAATCGGCCAACGGGGGTCTGGTCTCCATGGACATCGCCCTGCGTGGCGACAGCATCGCGGCAGCCGCGCCAGTCAGCGCCGCCGCCTACCTGCAGCCGCAGGCGTCGCCCTCGCCGTCCCCGAGCGCCAGCGCCAGCCCCAGCCCCAGCACCGGCCCCGGCGCCTCGGCCAGCCCGTCGCCCGTCATCTCGCCGCCCGTCGGGCCCGGCACGTCGCCGTCGCCGTCGCCGACGCCCAAGCCGTCGCCGTCGCCGTCATTGAGCCCATCCCCGACCCCCACCCCCAGCCC